GACCTCTAACCCCAGTGGGACTTAGGGTTAGAGTTAGGGTGTCTGTTCAGCATACCATTTGTGTGTGTGTTTTTTAATGGCTGAAGATATTATGGTTTGTGTTTTAGTCTGAATCAAAATGTCACAGCTCCCGTGGCATTGACACTGATGTTCCCTCTCCTCTTTGCTCTTTCTCCTCGTCTAAAGTACTGATGGGGAGCTGCCAGTGGAGGCTGGGGGTTGAGCATCCTGAAGTGTGCACTGACTCTGTCCTCTTCTTTTATCCTCTCTCTAACTTAGCTACCGAATACATTTCCCCTCAGAGACTCCTGACCCATCTTGTGGTAAGTGATGCCAGAATGAGTACTACAGTCATATAGTCTTCCATCCACTCATCAACCCATCCATCCATCCACTCATTTCACAAAGAGCTGGTTACTACTTTGTCTCAGGCATTATGCTGGGTATGGAATAATGAGATAGGGGCCAAAGAGCATGGAGGAGGGACCTGGGAGCATAGTGGTGAGGCCTCGAGATGAGGATGTGGGCAATGGGAAAGGTTTGCCTTTCTCCTGTGTGGCCTTATTGTGAGCTGCTCTCTGTTGACCGTGGACAAGCCCACATACCTTTCTGGATCTCTGTTTTGAGTTTCTCTATTAGCCCAGACATTATGTGCTAGACATATGCACACCTGGAATGACAAAGATAGACCTACCCTTGAGGTGTTCACAGACTTAGTGGGGAAGACAAGTGTGGGAATAGCTATCTACAGCCTAGTGTGACACATGTACTAATAGATGAATACATAAGGTGCAACGAGACTTAGAAGAGCAACAGGCTCACATGGTCTCCAGGAGGCAGGAAGGCATCACAGAAGAGGTGATGTTTCCAGAGCATCTGGGAGGATGTAGGAGTTCAACAGGTGGCAAAGAATGGGCAGGGCCTAAGCTCCAGCTCTACCATTCTATGGATTTGCTTTCATTTTCTTTCTTCTCTTCTTTTAAATATTTTCTCTGCCTCCTGCTTGCTTCTCAGATGTGTTCCCGGAAGCCCTACAGGGAAAAGGAGTTTGGTACAAGCTCTCTGAGGCTACTATCTGCCCTGCATCCTATCACTTCTCTGCATCCTATTATAAACCACAGTGTTGGGCAGCTGTGGAGGAAGGTGATCCCACAGATGTTGGAGATACTGGATGGTAAGGGCTTGGTTAGCAGGGGGAGGAATGAAGCTGGGACAGTGGCCAGACTCCAAAAGAGATGGCGTCCCCAGGTGCAGGATGGACGTTCCTTGGGGTGAGGAGAACTGGAACCAGTCTATGTCCCTTTGAGGTGCTATTGGATGGGTCTGCTTTTGGGGGCAATGTTGTGAACTGAGCAGAAACACAGTCCAAAGTTCTGTGGCTCCAGGGTTTCCAGAACGACTCCTGCACTTTCTTATGGGCAGAAGATCAGGGAAGAGTGTGGGCTTTGGAAACAGACAGACCAGTTTTGTATCCTTGCTCTGACACTGGTCAGCTGTGTGTATTTGACCTTTGGAAAGTCATTCATCTTCTGGAGGCTGAGTGCCGCATAGTACTTAAATGTGTAGGCTGAGTGCCGCATAGTACTTAAATGTTTTCTTCTCCCTGGCTGGGACAAGAGCCTGAATCAGGAGGAGTGGGAGGACAGGCTGTTCCGGGTAAGCACTCCCCAAGACCTCCCTCCCTCCACACTTGCCTTCTTTCCCATCTTCAGGATCCTGAGTGAGGATAGCCCCAAGCCCCCCAGAGACTGAGGTCATGATTAAGGGCCTAACTGCTCAAACAAACCTCTTTCTGTGGTCCCCTTGCCTCCTGGCCTCTGCCTCAGAGTATCTGACTATGTGCTGTCTTGAGCCCCCTTCCATACCCTTACAACCCTATATCAAGGGGGAGTAAGGGAAAGGGCCCTAGCTGTATGTCCTTGGGCAAGGTATTTAGCCTTTGCATGTCTCAGGTTCTTCATGGGTTAAATGGAAGTAACTCCTGCCTCCCAGAATTAAAAAGGATGATATCAGAGAGGACCTTGTAAATTGGAAAGGGCTTCACACATGTAATTGGCATTACCATCATTGTCACTGTAATATCATTCTTCAGTCCTAACTCCCACCATGTGTTTCACCTCTTTATCCATATTTACAGGCCATAACCCCTGTCTCTTGCTTCTTCTTGACCCCACTTTTGTGGAGCAGAACAGCCTACCACTGTCCTTTGTGGTCCTCTTCTCCCTTCTTCTTCCTCAGTTTTTGAGTCAGTCATTAGTGGCTATTGATGATGACCGCTGGCAGGAGCAACTCATCAGAGTCATCTTGGAGAGGATCCGTTATTTCAGTGATGATGGTGATGAGAAGGTTTGTCTGGGTGTGTGGTGGTTGCAATGTGGGGGCGGGGGGTGTGCATTGAAGGTGGAGGATGGTGCTGAAGAAACCTGGTGCTCACACAGGTGGCTGAGGAAATGTGAATGAGTAAAGGCCTTGGGGAAAGAACAAACCAGTGTTCCTGCATCGTGGCAATCAAGGGGTGGAGAGAACCACAAACTGGTCGTCACACTGGCATGACAAAAATATCAAGAGTGTCTTACTTTTGCTTAGCCTTTTAGGCTTTATCAAGAACTTTGCAATCTATTGTCTTCATTGAAACCTCCTGATAGTCTTAATAGAATGGAGCTTATACTTGGTGCAGTGGAAAGATTGTTGATTTTAGAGTCCTATTTAAGCAGTCAATTCAAGTAATATTTGAGGGCATCCCATAGACCAGTGATGGCGAACCTTTTGTGGTCGGCGTATCAGCATTTTGAAAAACCCTGATATTTGCAACCATAGTAAGACAAAGACTTATATTTTCGATGTTTATTTTATATATTTAAATGCCATTTAACAAAGAAAAATCAACCAAAAAAATGAGTTCACTTGTCACCTCTGACACGCGTGTCATAGGTTTGCCATCACTGCCATAGACTGTACTTCATGTTGGGGATACAGAGTTGAGGAAGAAATATGGGCTCCTTTCCTCACAGAGTGCAAGGTTGGTGGTGGTGACGGCCTGGGGTCCTGCCCTGGCTTTTCCATGTGCTCCCAATTTAGTCTTAATAAAGTGTCAACAATAAAGATTTTTAAAATATTAGCCTAAATAACCTATAGCTGTTGTCATCCCTACCCTGAAGCTTAAGAAACACAATCCAGGAGGATTTAAAATTTTAAGAAAATAATTGGTAAAACTGGCACCTGAATCCAAGTTTTTTCCTTCCTTCCTTCCTTCCTTCCTTACCTGAGGATATTTTCCCATTGATTTTTTAGGGAGAGTGGAAGAGAGACAGAAAGAGAAATATCTAGGAAATATCTAGGTGAGAGAAACACATCAATTGGTTGCCTCCTGCATATGCCCTGACTAGAGACGAGGCTGCAACCGAGATATGTGCCCTTAACTGGAATCGAACCCTTCGGTCCACAGACCAACACTCTATCCACTGAGCCAAACTGGCTAGGGCCTGAATCCAGGTTTCTTGATTTCGATTCCTGTTTTCCTGTCACCGAGAAATACTTTATTTGAGCTCTGGAGGTTTCCAGGAAAGAGGCCTTATTTCCAAGACCGTTTGCTCTCTCATTATTAACAGTACTTATGAAGCACCTAATGTATGCACATCTTTGTGGTTGGTAGATTAGGGGTACAAAATGAAGCAAGAGAGAATTCTGACCTTTTTAATTCAGTTATTTAAAAGGTGCACTAGCCCTAGCCGGTTTGGCTCAGTGGATAGAGCGTTGGCCTGTAGATCGAAGGGTTCCGGGTTCGATTCCAGTCAAGGCCACATACCTTGGTGGCAGACTCCACCCTTTCTTGGTCCCTGTTCAGGGCGTGTGCTGGAGGCAACAATTGAGGTGTCTCTCTCACATCGATATTTCTCCCTGTCTTTCCCTCTCCCTTCTACTCTCTCTAAAAAAAATCAATGGAAAAATATCCTTGGATGAGGATTAAAAAAGAGGTGCACTAAATGCCTAGAGCAGAGCAGACACTGGGCTGGGCTCAAGGTATTCATGTAAACACAGCCTCTGCCGTCAGGAAAGCATCATCTGCTTGAGTGCATAGACAAGAAAGTGGGCAATTATTCTAAGCCTTGTAGGTGTCAGGGTGGAAATATGCACTGTGTGCTTGGGAGCAGGAAGGAGGCCTGAGGGGGCTGGGCAGAGAAGCTTTGTCAGAGGCGATCCGCTGTTTAGGTTTGCTCAAGACTGTTTTGATGTTGTTAGTGCTGAAAGTTCAGGGTTTGGGGAACCGCCTCAGTGATGGGAAGACAAGTCTCCTGCAGAGGAGTGGATAAGTCTGGGAAGATGAGTAGTCTTTGCCAGTGAAGCAGAAAAGTAGGTGCCTTGGGTCAGGTTGGATTGATGCAGAGCCTAAGGTGAGGATTCTTGTCAAGTGACTTGGCGAGGAAATGCTCTCAGGAGAACTTGTGATAGAGTGAAGGGCACAGGATAGGGGAGAGGAGAAGCCAAGCCAGGATGTGGCCTGATCCCATGGGAGCCCTGCATGGAAACTGCAGAGTCTATCCTGCCTGGAGACAAGTGAGGGGGCTTTTGTACCCTCTGCCCCTAGGTTGTTTGTCATTGGATCCAGGTTTCCAAGGTTGGTCCTGTGCAGGGAGGGGAGAGAGAACAATGTAGCGCCTGAGCATCTGGGGTAAGGAGGCCCCAGTCACCTCAGGACAGTTCTCTCCCAAGGCTTCAGGGAGTAGCTGTTCAGAAAAGTTCCTGCAGCCAGTTGAAGGGAAGGAACCCTAAGGTCTGGGTAAGGCACCATGAGCATCTGCTAGAGGGGAAAAGATACCCATAAGAGGGGGAGTTAAGGCATTCATTGAACAGCCGGAATGTCCTGTTTGCCTACTGCCTCAGGCACTGATAGCAATGGGGCAGAGTAATGAACTGGGTAGACACTGCTCTTGAGCTCCATTCTCACCTGAGATGTGGGGTTGGTGCAAGTTGGGAACTAACGGAACAAATCCACAGTCAATATGAGTGATTATGATGAAGCCCTGAAAGAAGGAAACGGTGATGAGCTGGAGAGGGACTCTGGAGGTCAGAGCAGGCTCACTGAGGTGATATCTGAAAGATGAGAATGAGACATTTGTAAAAATATATATTTTATTGATTTTTTACAGAGAGGAAGGGAGAGGGATAGAGAATTAGAAACATCGATCAGCTGCCTCCTGCACACTCCCTGCTGGGGATGTGCCTGCAACCAAGGTACATGCCCTGACCGGAATCGAACCTGGGACCCTTGAGTCGCAGGCGGACGCTCTATCCACTGAGCCAAACCGGTTTGGACTGAGCCAAACCGGTTTGGGCAAGAGAATGAGACATTTTGAAGAGCCTGGGGTAAAGGGTTCTACACAGAGAAGAAGAAGGGAGTGGTGAGTCCACACAGTCTGGTATTATCCAGTAAGCAAGGATAAAGGCCACTGAAATTCAGAGGAGGGAGAAAGAATTACATAAAAGTACTTCTTCAATTATACAATTTTGGTTTTAAAATTATGCAAGTTTAAGGAACTTTTTTTATTTCCTAGCTGTAAGTGGGAGGTATGGGGGTTAGAGAAAGCTCCTAAAGGATGGTCCCTAAGAGGCTGAGACATTGGAAAGGCAGCTTTCTCTTCCCTGTAACTTGAACCCCTGCTCTTTATGATCACTGCCTTATCCAGATGCCTCTAGAGAGCAAGGGCCAGGGTGGAGGATGGGGCTGTGGGCAAAGGTGGTGGCTAGTATAGGAAATGCTGCCCTACCCTCATTTCAAGCTATGCGTGACCCTGCCCTCCTACCTTTCCTAGGCTTTTCTCTATAAATTCTTTGGCTTCACCCTGTGGACCTCAAGAAGTGAGAAACTGGTGAAAATGATGCTCTCCGCCATCCTTCAAACTTCCCATGAAAACGTGCAGGAGAGGGAGGTGAGGCAGAGTGCATTGGCCAAGCATTTTCAGGTTGAGTCAGGATGGCAAGGTGGCTAAAAGCTTGGGCCTGGCAAACCAGAGCACCTGGGTGAGAGTTCCAGCTCTGCCACCTACTCGCTTTGTGCCCTTGAGCAAGTTACCGAACCTCTCTGTGCCTCAGTTTCCTCCTCGTTAAGACAAGGCTATGGTACCTTCCTGATAGGATATTTCTTTAAAAGATTTATTGAATTTTAAATAATTTTATATTTAGAGGAAAGTTGCAAAAAAATCCCAAAGAATTTCTATTTATTCTCCCAGATTCCCAAAATATAAATGTTTTTCCATGTTTGCTTTATCATTCTCTTTCTCATAACTTACATAATTTACTAACATTATTACTATATTTTTTTAATCTGAAATGAAAGCTGCAGTCATGAAGCTCATTTACCCCTAAATACTCTAGTAGCTAAAAATAAAGATATTCTCTTACATAAGCACAGTGCAATGATCAAAATCAGGAAATTAACATTGCTACACCACTGATATCTAAATTATAGACCCAGTTTGAAAATCATTAATTGTCCCAACAATGTGTTTTCGAGAAAAAGAAAAATATTCTTTTTTTATTATTTTACTCCAGGGTCTAATTCAGAATCAAGCCGTGCATTCAGTTGTCATTTCTCTTTATTCTTCTTTAATCTGGAACAAGTTCCTAACCTTATCTTTCATGGCCTGGACATTTTAAAAATGCACAGACCCCTTATTTTGTACAATGTCTCTCGGTTTTGGTTTGTCTCATATTTCGTCATGATTAGATTCAGAGTGTGCATTGTTGGTGGAATACCACAGAAGTGATGTGTGTTGTAGGATGACATTAAAATGTAAAACCACTAAGAGCAATGCTGGTACATAAGCACTCTCTACTTGCTGATTACTGGTAGTGCTGGTGTTCATGCCCTAGGACCTCCCTCTCCAAGGCCCTTCTCCTGCCAGATTCTCAGAACATCCATCAGCTCCACGATCAGCAACAGGTATTTACTAAGCCTGAGTTGCAAACAGTATCAATGAGGAGAAAGACATATACAGGAAGGAAACGGCTAACTATACTCAATGGCCTTCTAAAGGCTACATGAGCAGTCATTGTGGCATTGAGGCTTGCTGGGACTTGGGTTGGTTGGAGCGAGTTTAGGAGAAGGAGGGAGGCAGGTATTCCCAGTTGACATAACATTCTGAGTCAAGATTCAGGATCAAGACTTTGGGGAGCACATCTAGGGAACAGTCAGTGGTCCAGTGGGACTGGAGTGCAGTGTTCTTTGACAAGGAAGTAAAAGTGACCTCTTGCTAGTACTTGGGAACAGATTGAATGCAGAAGATAAAGAGAAAAAAGGGCATCTGGGATGATTCTTGGGTTTCTGGTCCAAGTGGGAGGAGAATGGTATCCTTCCCTAAGACCAGGAACCCAGGACAAAGGGGGAGGAAGTAGATGTACTTAGTTTTTGACTAGGAGGGGGTGCAGTGTCAGGTGGACATGCACAGAAGCATGTAGACCTGTAACTCAAACCTGGGCTACGTGTCTAGATTTGGGAAACATATTTTCCCTGACTGTTAAATGGGGACGACAATATTTACCTCAATGCATTAGTGAGGATTAATCAAGTAACATGTATAAGGCTGGTAAACATTAAGCACTGATGTTCTGATGATGTCAGTTATGATGATGATATATGATGATGATGACCAGAAGGAGTGGTAGCCATGGCTAAGGGAGGACATAAGAAGAGGGACAGAATAGAACCCCCTTCTGATGCTCCACTAGCCCCTCTTTTCTAAAGAGGTAAAAATTTCCCTTTATCTACCTGATATCCAATGGTCTACAAGTCCCACTAAAATTTCATCCATCTCCATGATCTGTGTCCTGGAGCCTGTCACTGTCCCGAGGCTCCCTCCATCTGTCTGCTCTTGCTGAAAAATCTGAATGGTGGCCCTTCCAGCACAAATGAGCCAATTTGCCAACAGCTGGCACCTGAATGTCTGCTTGAGCATTTTCTTAGCTCTGTGCCCAGTCATCCTTGTTCAGTAAGCTCTAGGGAGGGACTCAGCTGACACTGAAGTCAAAAGGGCCTGCTATGAGGCTGAGGGGTTAAGTTAAAGACTGTTCCTGGCAGGAACCACAGAATCCCCAAGTCTTCATGCTTTTGACTCTCTCTAGGGTGTGATTCCCAAACCCACTGGCACTGACAACATTACCACTGAGTTGTTTTGCCATGATCTCCCATACAACACATTCAGAAACTCACTGTTTTCTCTCTCTCTCCAACTTAGGCCTCTTTTTCACCTGCCTGTTTTGGTCAGAGTTACTGATGTTTCCTGTTCTCCTAAACTAGAAATATTGGCATTCTCTGCAAGTCTTCCTGTCTTCCATCTCCTCTCTGACTAGCTATCCAATCCTGTCAGCAAGGTGCCTGGGACTTGTTCTTCCTTCTGTTCCCTCCTCAGAGCAACCATTCTCTGAATTCCTAGTGCCTATAAAAGTATTCTGAAATGTACAGGGTTAGGTTTGACAATACCAAGATTTTGTAAATCTGTGACTATGATTTTTCTTAATAATTGACTTCTTAAATTACTTCTCGCAAAGGTATTTGGTTCTCCACCCGGATTTTAAATAATTCAAATGTGGAGAACCAAATTCCCTTCCATTTCTTTCCTCTCCTTTTCCTTCCCCTTCCTCTATGTATATCCTTCTTGTGGGGGAACATAGCATGTGTCTGGTTCACCCTGAACTGTGGCATGGGGTTGAGGCTCTCTTTGTTACAGGGCATTGCTGTGGCATTCAGCGTCGTGTCCAGGAAACATCTGAGGACAGTCCTGGAGCAACTGCAAGTGTATAGTGCTGTACTCACTGACAAGGAGTCATCGTCCATCCTCACACTGGCAAAGGTGATGTCATTCCCAGGGTGCTCTACCAGCCTCCCATACAAAGCCTTCCAAGGCATCCCCATCACCCCAGCCTCCCATTTCTCTGAGGCCTTGTGACTCATCTATAAAAGCTTCTCTTTCCCTTGAAACAACTGTGGGAAAGTTTCATCCTCCATCCCTTTCTCTTGCCCTGCATTTCAGGCCCTGGTATCGCCAGCTACATGCCCACCCTGTCCCCCAAGCTGCTCGCCATCCCACAGTCCCATCTTCTTTCCCAAATCCTCTGAGCAACCTTTTCCTCTCTGAACCTCTGTTTCCCCCTCCCCCCTACAGGAACATCAGCCAAGGGAATGGGTGCTTGTGTGTCACACCATCTACCTAAGCTATAGCAAGATTATTTTAGAGAGCAAGGGAGATATTTTCATGCATTTCGATGCCGTGCTGGCCTTGATCCTGCAACACTACCACAACTGCATTTTGGAAAAGGTACTTCCTGCTTACTCTACTTCTCCAGCATTCCATTTCTGCCACGTCCTCTCTTACCGCCCAAGAAAAAGGTGCTTGGCCTTAAATGGGAGTCAGGGGCTAGTACAGTGACTTCTCCCACATTTTCATCCTTTCACTTAACCCTGCTACTTGGAGACTCTAATTGGCCCAAGGAGTAGACCACAGTAACTTTAGGTCTGTTTCAAAGTGTGTCCTTCCCTGTGACAGAGCTTCGTAACCTGCCAGTGAGCTCTTCACTGCCCTCTCGGATGAAGGGATGAGTAAAACCTAAATTCCCTAGTGTTTGTGGGAAGAAGCATTCAGGAGAGGCACAGGAGCTCCATACTGCTTTCCTGCCTTTGCTATGTGTCCAAAGCATGGGTCCCCAGGGTTGGAGAAGAATCCCTTTCCATTCCCAAGTCAGATATCTTTTGGTAAAACGTGTTCAAGGGAAAGACAATACCTTGAGAGACCGGGAAGCTTGATCTATCCTAATTTCAGAGTCACATGAGGGTGGCTTCAGAAGGGGGTTGGTGAGAGGAGTGGCTCTCTCCACCACAGGGATGCACTGGTCTACCCTCAGAGGGAAGATGCAGAGCAGGAGCCTAAGGAAGGCTAAAGAAGGCTTAGGTCCTCACCCCCCAGACTGTGTAGGTAGTGTGCCCTGGCCCAGATCCATTGCCACCTTGGAGAACCCTGACCATACTGGTTCATTCAGGATAAGGACCTGAAGCTGGGTTACTTGAATGCCCTCATCATACTGACAAAAACCCTGGGCAGGCAGCAGCACGTGGCCTTTCAATTCAAGTTCCCCCACAAGCTAGCAATTGTTACCGTCATGCTGGTAAGTATCTTGCAGGAGGATGGAGGTGGGAATGCAGAGAGGAGGGAGGATGGGTCCACATGGAAACCATTGGTGACACTCCTAGGCTAGAGCTGAAGGTAAAAGCCCAGATTTTCTAGTTTCCTTTTCCCGCCTTAGTGTTCCCTTTGCCATCCTCAAGGCTGGGGTGAGTACTGTAGGGAAGGTGTGGTGGGGAGTAGGAGACAGGTGCTGTCCTCAGAGCCTTTGGAAGTCACTAAAAATTCTAAATTCCACCTTCTCCTGGAGTGGGAGGAGGCAGAAGCAAACAAGAAAAAAATGTTCACCATCCTTTTGGGGTGTGTGTGTGTGTGTGTGTGTGTGTGTGTGTGTGTTAGGACCTAATCAAGGAGGAGCCCTTGAACTCCATTTCCAGCCCTATTAGACAGAAGGCAATGAACATCATCAATAACTTCAGGTAACAACACACCATCCACTCTGTCTTCCTTGACCTGGTTCTATTGCAGCTCTTTCTTCCCTAGTTGATCCCCACCTCTTATTTTCTGCTTCTGCTTCTAGCATAAGGGAATAGTAGGAATTTACTGGCCAATATCTGCCACTTCTTTTGGCCAAGATTTTTTGAATTGGATTTTCAAAGGACCCAGGGGAGATGGTCTCTCCTATCTCTATAGGCACTTGCTGTTAATTCTGCCCCAGGCATCCTTTTGCTTTCAGCCCTGTCCCTGATAGGCACCTCCATCTCCATCAGTGATATCCCGTTCCCTCAAAAGCTCTGGGGAACTAACAAGTAATAATATATCATCCCAAATTAGCAGTACCCTTTCCTGTAATAGTCATGCCTCCTGTCTTTCCCTTAGTTCCTTTCTTTCCATCTTCCTGGCTCTTTTCACCATTTCTTACTGTTACTCCCTTTCTTTTAATATCCTTTCTTCTGATATCTTCCTCTTTCTTGCTCCCACTTATTCCTCTGTTTCCATCTTCTCTTTCTATACCCTTTTCTGTTGTTATTCCTGACAACACTGGTTACACTTCTTCTCCCTGGATCTTAGGATGTTCAGGCCCCTCTTAGGGATAGAAGAAAGAGTAGAGCTCCTGGGAACATGCTTCAAGAGTGTGTTCTGTCTGCCATCCATTGAAGTGTTACGAAAGGAGGCATCTAGTCCCAAGGAGGGCCAGGCCAATGTGGTAAGTAACTCTTTGATGTTTGTCTCTTTGGCTTCATTTTTTATTTTTTTAAGAGGTTAGGAAGTATAGGTTTGGCAGTTTTATGTAATAGTCTTCTGCCTTCTTTAATAAAAACACCAAATCATTGGAAGGAAGCCCTCCTGTGAAGAAGAGGTTGCTAGGTCATGTAGTCTGAACTCTACTCCTGAGATCTAACTTCCTCCTTCTACCCGTTGATTACCACTGCCACCACTTCAACACTCTGGCCCCAAGGCAGACACTTGATCCTCCCCTTTATAACTGCTGTGTGATTGAAATGAGACTAGAAGGTTCAAATATGATTTTAGTAACGGTTGATATGTACGTAAATCCAGGGAATCCCAGGATCAAGCAATCAGAGTCTATTTCTTATAGGGCCTGCAGTGTTTCCTTGAGGAAGGAAAGAGGGATTCAATTTTTAATTTATATTCATATATTTAATTCCTAGGAATTCTTTCATGTGTTCTGATTACACCTTTATCTTGCCTGGTTGTTCTTGTTTTATTGATGCCATAGTCTCTTGAAATGTTTCTGAAGATATTAAAGAGAATTTAAAAATACAGGTTTCTATTATTTACCAAATTAGCTTGGTTTTCTTTAAGGTCAGTTGGTTTGTTCATCTTGGGCCTCCTTTTCATCTGATTTCTGGTAATCCTTATTTTTTAGTTCATAGTTATGTCATGAAGGAAAGACTGGTACATATAGAAAAGGCGGAGGTGGGTTTTCTATGGCCTCCCTCAGTGTAAATCTGATTTGGATAAGGAAGTCATTTTGACAAGATTTCCCTGTGTTTGGAGCAAGCTGGGAGTTCCAGCTGCCCAGTACAAATAGCTTTACACCTAGGTAGGTTTCTTCTGAGTATTTTATTCCAGGGAGAGCTGGCTTTCTTTTTTCCCCCCTGCTTTTCAGTGTTAGTGGCTGGGATCTATCACAATGTTGCTCTGGTTCTCCCAGCAGGCCCTACGTTTAGAAGCCCTCCTTGGCAGATCACCTACTCTCTTTATAAGGCTTTGGGCAAGGCCACTTGGTTCATTAAAGGATGAGAGGGAGAAACCCACTATCCTAGCTTTTGTGAATCAGTTACTCTGCAGACAGCCAGGCCAGTCCTCCTCCCACCTGGAACCAGCTAGCCTGCCATTCCTGGTTGCTTACTGAAGCTGTACCCCCTGGGACCAGAGTCCCAGATGAGCTAGAGTTAAGGAGTAGGGATGGAGGAGGCGGGGTAGCTACGTTGCAGGGGAACTTCCAGTTCACCAGGACAAACTACACACCAGGCAGACATTTGTGCTCTGGTGAAACAACAGAGGGATTTATTGAAGTGAATGATGGGCCAGTAGTGCTTTAATGTAGGGAAGTTTTTGGATCAGGCTTTCTCAAGGAAGGCTGGGAGAGCCAGAATGCTGAGCAGTTTAGACGGAGGGTTGGGGCTGATAGGTTGGCAATTTTTTGAGTTTCTTTTCCCCCTCAGGATCTGTTTGAGGGGACCATGCAATCCCTCCTAAGACTATTGGAGACACTTATTGTTGAGATGCCCACCCGGATCCAGAACTGCTTGCAGGTTCGTGGGAGGAAGCCCCTGAACGTTGGTGTATTCATTTCCTAGAACTGCCATAAATAAATACCGCAGGAAGTGACGTCAAACAACAGAAGTACATTCTCTCAAGTTGTAAAGGACAGAAGTCCAAAATCAAAGTTGTGGCTGGTTTGGTTCCTACTGGAGGCTCTGAAGGAGAATCTGTTCTGTGCATCTCTCCTAGCTTCTGGTAACTCCTGGCAAGCCATGGTATCTCTTGGCTTGTAGACATATCATTCCAATCTGTGCCTCCATTTATTTTTCACAGCGCATTCTTACGTGTGTGTGTGTGTGTGTGTGTGTGTGTGTGTGTTCTTTTTTTTAAAAAAATATGTTTTTATTGATTTCAGAGATGGAGGGAGATGGAGAGAGAGAGAGAAACATCAATGACGAGAGAGAATCAGTGATCGGATGCCTCTTGCACAACCCCCACTGAGGATTGGGCTCACAACCTGGACATGTGTCCTTGACCAGAATCAAACCCAGGACCCTATGCAGGCTCATGCTCTAGCCACTAAGCAAAACTGACTAGGGCAGTGCAGCATCAGTGTTCTTTTGAGTTGGTTGTGGATTTTTCACCTGCTACTCTTCTTCTTTTTCAATTATATATCACGGTCTCTGTGGTTGCACATTGTCAGATTGATGACTGTAGATTGACAAGTAGCAGTGGTATTTGGGACCCATAATTAACCAAAGGTGAGACACTTTTCCATTGTGTTTCAAGTGAAACCATTTATAATGGTATTTTTCAAATAGATTTACACACACTTTACTCTGGAATCTGTGAATGCAGTGACTGTTATTTTTTTTATCACCAAGTTCTTTTTCTACTGAAGAATGGGAGGCAGACGGTAGGGGAACTCAGGGGTATGTTGAATCACTGAAGTGAATAGAGTGGATATATTTTGAGAGCCACTGTTGAACCTGAAGGAAGGGGGTTGTAATTGAGGAGATTTCTATCACCTAAACGAAGGGAAAATATGGGGCTGGAAGACTTAATATCGTGTATACTTGATAGGAGAGAGGAGAGAATGAAACCTCTGGTGCCAGACCCACATATAACCTGCCTCTTGGCAAAAGAGGTCCTGCTGTCAGAACTCTTGCCCTAAAACTTTGTAAAAGCCAGGTTCAAGAATATCTTTCTGTTCTCTGGGACACAGATGAATGGGCCTCTCCTTTCATTATCTTCTTCCTCCAGCTTATGGATCCTTGGCTCAATTCCCAGAAGGATAACGAGCGGGAACGGGCCATGTGGTGTGCTGCGCGTATTCTGGAGTTTACAGCAAAAATGGAGGACTTCAGTGTGAGTGGGAGCCAGCCCTGGAGTCTGAATTCTCATACCCTGTCTGGTTGCCCTTACCCCTACCTTCATCATATATATTACCTAGCCTCAGTCACTCATTCTCATCCTCATTCTCCGTGGCCCATGCTGTTTTCTCTTGTGCATCCCATCCTGTTCTCTCCTTTCTCCCTTCTGTCATCTTTTACTTGGTCTTTTTCTCCAACCATCAGTTTTATTTCATCCCACTTGGTTCAGTCTGATGTTATTTGTCTGAACAAGCAATGTCTAAACACTCGCCTTGTGCCAGGCACTGTGGTAGGTGCTATAGCGAATGCACAGATGACCAAGATAGTTTCTGACTTCATGAACCTTACAGTCCACTGGGGACAGAGGCATGCATAGAACAAACTTAAATAGCAGGTGATAATGAATATATAAACTGAATATAGTGGGACTAAAAGATCAAAACAAACAATTACAAGTTGAGGGGGCAGGAAAAGGTTCATAGAGAAGGCGGCATTGAACTAGACTTGACAGATGAGTGGGGTGTCAAGGGGCAAAGAAGGGGGATAGAGTAAGGTAATTATAAAACGATGACCTCTGATGTCCTTTATGGCCACAACTCATCTATCAAATTCCATTCCCATTAACCTCACATAGTCTCACCTTTCATGTTTCTGGCACATGCATTTCCTCCTCTGAGTTCTTCCTGTGATAGCTCAGCCTAAGGGAATGGCTGGGATAACTTGTGACTTCCAGCTTCCTTCCCCAGATGGAAATTGAATTCACCCGGCTGGGGCGCTTGGTAAAGCTGCTGGCCATGCGCTGCCAGGACCCAGTGGACAGCATCTGCTTCCTGTCTGCCAAGGCTGTGTATCACCTCTACTGTATCCTCTTGAAGAAAAAGCGTATGAGGAACCTGCTCTTACCACTCCCCCTCCAACCACACACTTAGGCCTGGCCATCCCCACACACTCGTCCCAAGACAGTGAGAGCCAAGAAGCTGCTTGAGTACCTCATTTCCATTGAGGAACTTACTCCCAAACATCTACAGATAATCTCTTGGGAAAAAATACCTACATAGGAAATACTTCTTTGGAATTAGTTTCTTCGTTTTTGGCTCAGCCCCATCCTTTTACCCAATTCTATCTCTGCTCTGAGGCAGGCAAGATAGTTTGTTTGTCTTTTACCTCAGCTCCCACCATTTCTTACCTTAATGCCCATTCCTCTACTCCCAGCCCCAAAGGACATACATAGCCCCAAGCTGACTTAGTTCAGTAGGAGCTTTGGGCTAGAAGGTGGGAAAGGGGGAGTTTAACATGCCTTCTGAGTGTCTGAGAGGTGGGGCTGGGTGTCTCTGTTTCAGAGATGAAGAAGAAAATACAAGGCTTGTGGATTGAAGAGGGCATGGATGAAGCCTATAGTACCAACTTGTTCTATAACAACACCGTTGAGATTGCCGAGGTGAGGGAGCAGGACCAGAGACAAAGTGAGGGAAGCCTGGGCTTCTCATTTACACGCTATTATAGACTCCTGGGTGGGACTCCTATCCTGTCCCTCTCCCCATTCTATTACTGGATGTGAACTTTTCCTTTGGGGGAAATTTTCCTATCACATGCTGCTATTTGTCCCTCCTTGAGCATCATGGGTCCTAATCCTTGTCTTTCCCTGTTCCCCCAGAAGCATTTGCTTCATGCTAATGCTGCTTTGTGAGCAATGTGTAGACTCAGAGATGTCACTGAGGATCTTAGCCCCAGCCCTCCTCTCCCCGGGGTTCTGCCTCTGCACCCCCTGACCTCTGAGCCCCACATTGCACTTGAGACCACTGTTTCCTCCCTTCCATCCCCAGGACTCTGTCCCCAGGAAAGGGTCTTCTAGGAGTTAGGGAGATAGCACAAGCCTAGGACAGAAGCACAGAAGCTCCCAAGAGAAGCCCTCCCTCACCAGGAGGAATGGCACAGGCTGTCTCAGGCAGGGGGAGCCCTGCATCCAGACTCATCGCACCATGTGATCCCACCCTGTTGCAGGCCTTTGCAGAGTACTTCACCCAGAGCCAGCTCACCAACCTGGTGCTGACAGCCATGGAGGAGCTGACGGGCAGCAGGGCTAAGGTGTCTCTGGCTGCAGCCCAGTTGATGAGCGCTGTCATGAAAAAGCGGGGCTCAGATTTGATAAAGGTAGTGTGGTGCTGGGTGGGAGCTCTGCCCTGAATGTCAGGGGCACTGGCTCATGTCCTGGCTCTGTTACCAAGCAGCCAAAGGGCTGTAGCAAAGTCTCTCTCCTCAGCTGGCTTTAATTCATTCACTTCTAAAATGTAGGCTTGCACTACATTTCCTCTGTGGTCACACTGAGCTCTGACATTTGTAATCCTGAGCTTGTAACTGCAGTGCCTCCTATCTGGGCGGCCGATTCCTCAGTAATGACAGCCATGTGCAGGGGTGTAGGCATTGTTGGGGGACTCACCCTGACCCCCTGGGAGCTTAGACCTCTGCGAAGGGGTAAGGCTGTGGATTGGAAACAAGGAAGCTCACAGAATGACTGACCTATGTATAAATGTTCTTTTAAGCTAGCATAAATATGGGAAGGCCTAGCATTTAGAAATCTGTTCCTCACTTCACTAAGAAAAAACAACTTCAAAATCGGGTCACATAGGGCAAGTCTCTGAGTGGCCACCATCCTCTTTATATGTGTCACGGGCTGCCCACCCCCTTCTCTCTATGAATCCCCAGACACCCGTTGCCTCCACTCATTTATGTGACTGGCATGGCCTAGGTACCAGAAATGGAAGGGCACCATGACAGTCCTTGAGATATTACAATGAAATGGACTTCCCAGAGGTCCATAGTTTAGAGCTCTGAGCACCGGATGAGAACCCTGTGGTCTTTCCACATCCAGTGCCACTGTCCCTGCAGTTTCAGGGCTGGAAGTTGACCTTAGCTGGAAGGGAAAGGCCTGAGTGCCTCCAGGGCTTTGGCTTTCTTTCTGGAGGGTCTTCTGTCTCCTGAGGAATCTCAGACCACCTCTCTGGATGTGGGGGTTCTGGGCAGGCATTTGCTCTAGTGGGCCTTGGCCCGAGCTCCCTTTTGTGGGCCCTGCTGCTCTGGCCTTTGGCACCCCGGAACTCTGCCTTGAGAAGAGAGTCAGGGACAGGATTGCAACTAGGCCCCTTGAGTTTGAGGACTCAGTAGAGCGGGAGGAGGAAGGAAGGAAGTCAAGAAGGACTGACGGGGTTTTCTGGCTCTCCCCTGCAGGTTGAGGAAATTTTGGTGGGCATCCTGGAACGGCTCAAATTGCAGCTGGAGCCCAACACAAAGGAGGAGACCCTTCGGGCCCTGTGCTTGCTGGCAGGCAACTGCACCCACAGCGTTGTGCCCCTGCTGCTCAACAGGCCCCTCCCTTGGGATAGGTACCTCTCCCACACCCAGGAGCACACTCCATCCCAGTAAACCCTCCCCTGCTCCAACCCAAGCCCATGTTAAAAATCACTGCACAAGGATGCTTTCTTCTTGATGCCAATCAAACTTCATGTTCTTTGGCCAAGTCCTCTTGGGCCTCACTCCCACTAGAACCTGAGAACTGGCCCTTCATAGGCTCAGGACCAGATTGGTACTAGAATATGATTACCAGGGCCCATGACATAGCTGTCCCTGGCTCCTGCAGAACCATTTTGGCCCCATGGAGGTTGTTCGGCACCGAGCGAAAGACCACAATCAACGTCCTGCAGCTGCTGATAGGCATCCTGGAAAACCACTCCACAGAGGGCACGACGGAGAAAGCCCTAGAGCCCGAGGAGGTCAGCATGGGGAGGGCAGGTGGGGGGCGGAGGACTTATGTCTGGGACTTACGTGCAGATTAAAGGGCACGTGCTGGGTGCGGTCAGTTGTTAGGGAGCAGTGAAGAGGAGACTGTTAACACTGGACTCACTAGTACTGCACATACGGTTAGCACTTGAACTTTGTACATCCAAGAACTCCATGATGTAGAAAGTGCAGGAATCAATCCCATTTCATCGACAAGGAAACTGATGTTCAGAGTTAATCAGCTTTTTCTATCTCCTGATTTTGGGTCTGGCACCCATATTTCTGGGGGCCTGGCCAGGGGCATGCGGTGCTAGGCGCAGAGGATGAAGTTTGGTTGTCTGAAATGGGGTGGCCCAATTTATTTTCTGCTGAAAAATTAGAGTTGGTTCCCTTTTTGTTTTTAATGTTTGGGAATAAAGAGAGAGCAGATTACATGTGTGTGGCCCCTCATTTCCCCAGGGATGAGCTGTGGGCTTTCAGTCTTTGGATGCTTCTTAGAAACCTCAGTCAGGGTGCACTGTGACCTTTGGGCACTGACAGGGAGGGGCAGTGTGTGGGTTGTGGGACCATTTATGTCTTTACCAGACCTAGTCAATTCTGTTTCCTCCTTTCCATGTGTCTTCCCCAGGAGGCGTTTGCCTTGTGTGAGATGCTATCCGGGACTCTGTGCCGGGAGGCCATCCTGGAACTCTACCCCCGGCTATTGCTGGCTGTGTTATGTCATCTCTTCTGGGTGATTGAGCAAAAGATCCCCAAGAATATGGTGGTCTACAGGAAGGTTGGGGGCTCAGGCAAGACCTTTGACCCCACTAGGTAAGCCTAACCCTGGTGTGATGGAGAAATGAGGCTAGTCAACTCCAGAGGGCCCTGGACAGCTGGATGCCAATCCCCTAGGGAAGCTGAAGAAGAGACTGACAGCAGCACAGAGCTAGAATGTCGGTGTGGGTGCCCCAACATCACGTGCTGGAATGTCCCCACATATTTTCATGTTTCTCATTACCCTTTTCCTTGCATGCACTCTTATGCTTCACCCAGCGGTTCACATCTCTGTTCATGACTCGGCACATGAAAGATTCAATTCTCTCCGTGCTGCTGTGGCCATTCGAATCTGGATCACCTCTGGCTTAGCTTTGTCACTAACTGCGACATCTGGTGCAAGTCACTACTGCAGTTTAGGGTGTTGAACTCCTAAATAAGTGGTTGTCATTCCTTTTTAAATACCCACAGGGTATTCTATTCAAGTGAAATCTTACAGTAAAAAAATAAAGAAAACCAGTAACCAGAGACATTCTGGTTAGGTGGGTGTGGAGGTGAAGAGGTATCCTAACCCTGCTACACTATGGAGAGCTGAATTTCAGCTGTGGCACTAGCACATCTCTATAGTCTCTTTTACAAGACTCTGTGGTTGGATGAGCACCAAGGCTGAAGGGGTGAGCAGACACAATTGGAGATGGGTTTCAGAGAGCCATGTGTTTTCATCAGCTGGAAAGCAGGATCCAGCTAGCCACCAGATTAGAGAACTGTCTCCTGGCTTGCTAGGACAAGGATGCAAACTAGGGCATAACACCTTGTCGATCCTTCTGTTCCTTTCTTTTCACAAACCTCGTGACGATTGGCCTTCAGTTGTGCCCTGGAGGTGGTGAAGCTTGTGTTCTTCGCAGCCGCATACGATGGAGTGGTGGTCTATGCAGATGAGCATAAGTGCTGGGATCATCTGTCCTCCTCTAAATTTTACTACAGAGGGATCATGGACCTGACAAGGTGGGACCATTTCCCCAGCATGCCCAATACCACTCTAGCCCCCAATCCCAATTTTCCAGGGTCCAGCACTCAAATACAGCAGCCTGTAACCCTCCCTTGCTCATCTCCCAGACCTCAGCCTTCACATTTTCCCTGTTCTGTGCATACTGTTCC